AAATAGATAGCTATAAGAATAAATTATATAAATATTAATATATTATAAAGAAAGATATCACCATGTTTGCTTCATGTTTTTAGAATTATCAATATAAAAAACTTTAGCTTTAAATAAGAATTGCAAATATTGAAATTATAATTGATATAATTAATACAAGTATAAGTTATATTAATATAATTAATATATTTAAAATAAAAAATAATGTATATATATATAATATTCGGGATGGGACAGGATGTCCTGATGGTAATCTCGATTATTGGAGGAAAATCATGATGGGAATATATATATTCGATTATTGAATACAAAAAAAAAATCAACACATGAATCAAATGATGCCATGAGAAAACCACAATAAGAGAATAAAAAACCATCATTATAGCAAATTTGATTTGATAATCTCAAATTTCATTAAAAAAAAATCTGATTTGATAAGATCAAAACTAAAAACCATCGACAAACAAATTTCATTACAATACTTAATCTAGAACTGAAATCCAAATTGAATCAGAACGGTGATTCATTTTTTATGAAACCCAAATCTAAAACATGAACAGAATCGGAGACTTGCAATGCATCATCTTAGATGGCCATGCTCGTACAAGGCATTATTTATATATGGTGGAGAATTGTCACCAGCAGAGATTCATAGTAGTTGTCGCCGAAGATTTGAGTTTCAAATTAGATTTTTAGGATCCGGTACATAAAATATAAATCATCATCATGGCTGATGGAAAATCCTCACTGTCATCACTGGTGGAGAATTATCACCCTTGTGCTAACGGAGGACCATTATTGTCCTTGTCGCTAATAGAGGGTCAGTAAGTCGCTGGCAAGAACATGGAAGACGGAAGGAGAAGGCAGGGCTCAAGGGTAAAGGAATCCAACAAGGAAAAGAACTTAAGCCCCGTTTGGTATCATTGAATTAGGAAGAAAGAAATGAAATCAGAAACAAAATTCTGATGCAAGTACTTTTGGTAGGCAAGAGTTGTGATTCTTAAGGAATCTGATTCGAGCAAAAATGTCAGAATCATATTCTTTCTCATACTCTATGGAATCAGATGAATTCCATGGAATTTATTCCTTCAAACCTCAATACCCTCTACTTTAATGCTCTACTCTCGACATCACATGCCTCTATCTTCCTATCTTATGTTTCCCTAACGACTCCTCTGCCACTACTCCCTGTCTCTGACAGTCAATGAGAGGTGATAGCATCTTCAACGCAACTTGGTTCAAGGATGATCGTCGATAGTGAAGGAGCCATCACCATGCGTTCTTGCCAACACTAAAGGACCCTCACCATGCATTCTTATTGATAATGAAGGACCCATCACCGTTCGTGCATTCTCACCATCAATAACGACCTCTTTCTCTGTCTCTCTCTCTTATAATTAAAGACCCTCACCATGCATTCTTGCGACCTCTCTCTCTCTCTCTCTATGGGCATTCTATGTCTGGGCATGAATATTCAGAAATAGATGCTGTATGAGCGATGTTGTCGAGCACTTGCTTTTAGTCTAGGTGAATCTGGCAATGTATAAGGTGGACGAGGAAGATGAAGTAGGCGGGTCTTGGGTTATGATACTTGGACTTGGAAGATGATGATGAAGAATAGAGCAACAGTGGACGGCGCAATGGTCATTGCTATCACCCTACTCGAAGGACATCATCATCTGCATTGATCTCCTCCTCTCTTCTTCTTTGGTCTTCATCTTCTTATTCAATCAGGTGTCGTTAAAGAAGAAGAAGAAAGCAGTGACAATGAACCATGGAAGGTAGCGACAGATTATAGGAGGGGGTCCTTACTGGAGAAGAAGAAGAAGAAAGCAGTGATGGACGGCAGCGAGGATGCTCATCAGATGAGGAGGACAAAGAGGCAGTGATGCACCCACCTATTTGACGATACGAGTTGGAATCATCAGATGAAGAGGGGGAGGAGGCAGTGACGCTGTTGGGCTGATGAGGATAATTTTGTTTTAAATTTAGAAAAGGGTACTTTGGTCTTTTCTTATTCTAAGTACACATATTTTATTAAATTTATATCAGGATTCCATCGTCATACCAAACACACTCTCAAATCCAATTTTATTTCAATTTCAATTTTGATTCCAATTTTAATTCTGATTCGATTTCATCAAAAACTCTTTCATCATACCAAACATGGCATTAGTTCCATCGAATGAAGTATGAAACCCACTTTCCATTGATTTTGATAGAATTGAATTTCATAAAGAACTGACTTTTCTTATACCAAACTGTTTAAAATTTAGACTCTATTTTTCATTTTCACTTCTCTCCCTTCAATTCTCTCCTACCAAACGAGCCATTAATCTTGCAAATAGGGCCTCCATGCATGATGTAATGGTTTAAGAAGGTGAATAGAAAAATAAAATTACATTTAAAAGGCCCAAAAGAGTTAAGTATGCAAACGTGTCCCGTAAGCTTGGCTGTACTTGCATTATAATTAAATGTCTACTTGTTCTCTAAGTTAGGGCTGGCATTTAATTTTTAATTTTGATTATTTTCCTTAATAAGGCGTTGGATCAATATTTTGTTTTATCTTTGTTTCCTATTTCTAGCATGTGTTATTTTGACCGAAAAGTTAAGTTGTTCCCTTGTCTTTGATGTAACAATAAAGCCATATTTCTGACTTTATGAGTATCCTGTTATTATCCTTTAATGTTTAGAATTTAATTAGTAATGTTAGGGGCAAGAACATTCAACAATTCCATCTGGGAATGTGAGCCTGACTTATCAAATTATCGATTAAGCCATTTTATACGGACTTTAAAAATTAAAATTTTTTTATTAAAAAAAATTCAAAGCCCAATCCATTTAAACCCTAAAAAGGGGTATGGGCTATTGCATATTCGATTAAACTCGCATTAATTTTTAACACCTAAATTTTGAGATATTTTAAATTTTTAGATTAAGTTTAGACTTTAGAATGTGTTTTTATACTTTAAAGTTACTATTCAGATTACTTATTTTTAATTTTAAAACATTATAATTTATATTTTAGATAATTAATATGTAATATTATAATGTAAAAATTAAATTTTAAAAGTTAAGAAAATTAAAAAATTAAAAATTAAAAAGTGCTTCCGTCCACGGCCTAAGCCTAATCAATAAGAATTGAGTTTGAAAAAATAATTAATTTTAAAATAATAGTGTTTTGAACCTAAGTTTAAACTCTGTCCAGTTCCCTATTTTATTTGTCAAAACAAACGAAGAATAACAACGCTCCCTATTAAAGAGAGTTGAGATATGCTTTGCTTGACAAAACCCATAAGGAAAGGAAAAGTAAGATTCTCAATTAGATTTTTTATTTTTATTTTTTTGGGTTGGGTGCAGGAGGATTCAGGCGGACCACTTGAAGAGAAAGCTATCCCAATTCATACTCCTCACAACTTGTCTGTCTTTAGCCTCTGAAGCCGCAGATGAAGAAATTGTGAGGATGGAATCAATTATGTCTATGAGAGGAGACGTTCCTTTCATTATGGTCCTTTGTGTTTATTAAAAAAAGAATGGACTAGAATTAATAAAAAAATAAAAGTAAAAATAAATTAATCAAAACGTGGAGAAGATAAGTAAACAATATTCATAAAAAAGTAATTTAATTCATGGAGTTGAGATTCATAATTTATAAAGTTGTTAGAGGGTGTGATGATTTTATATTTGTGGCACATAATATTAAATTTTATCATTACGAAAGAGAATGGTAATTTAATTTATTTTTCAATCAATGTCATCCCTATCTTTTCTAGTAAGCAAATGGGACCTATGAGTTTTTTCTTTGGATCTACTTCTTCAGCTTACCTAATCCATATGAAATGATGTGAAATGATAGGAAAGAAAGCATAAATTACTTACATTTAGTGCTTAATAATGTCTTGAAAAAAAATTACCTCCAATAAAAATATTTCTGTGGGTAACCAAAAGAGAGAGAGCATAAATTACTAGTATATATATATATATATATATTAATCAAGGACTTGAATGAATTTATACATGACATAAAATTTATAGGAAGTTGTAATATTTATAAATTATAAACAATATCACTTACCTTAAATAACTAACATTAGATTCCATAGAGGACCAACATTCTAGTTTTTACTACCAATTAATAAATAAAATACTGAATAATAATTTTTGATTAAAAATCGACTCAATTTCCAACTCCAACATTTATGAAAATTGTCGATCAAATTGGAGATTCATTTATGTCCATCTAAAATAGGAATCATTAATATATATATATATATATATATAGAATGGAATGAATACTTTTTTTTAGTAAATGAAATTAATAGATGAGCAAGCCCATGTGGAAACACCAAACTGTGTGATTCAGCTTTATTGATCTTTCTGGGTAAAACGTAAAATTGCTTCTGCACATTAATAAAGTTTATTTAATATATGGAATATCCTTTTTAGTTTAAAAATATTACTTATCTCGTTTAGTATCAATATATGTAACCACAAACCATAAATGTCCATTACATTAAATTCTCTGGCCCACTTTCTTAGTATCATTTCATGGTTACCATATCAGATCACCAGAGTAAATGCATCAGACCATAAAAGCAACGAAAAACATGTGACATCCTTGTTGCCCCACCATGGTTATTTTTCTAATGATGGTTTATGATTTAACTAGAAAGATAAGGAGGCAAGAAAAGAGGATTCAACACCCAAATCACGCTTCAACAAGTGAAGACAGCTGTAAGTAACAAGTGAGACAACAACTGTGAACAGTGCTTCTGTCCATCAGCATTGCTCAGTAGGTTTTGACTTTGAAGATTTTAATGATTCAACTCCATTTCTGTCTGTGTGATCATAATGCTCACTCTCTTCAGTTCCGTACACCAGAGCTTGAATCGCATTCTTCGTAGGTAGAAGTCTAGTGATCACTGTACGCTCATCACTATAAGCCAGTAAGTTTCATATTGGAAACAAAAGATGAATAAACAAACTGGAAGCTCAAAAAGTACAGTAAACAGAAAGCATGATTTATAAAACAAGCATAGAAGCTCCCAAAGTATCATCTCAGAGCTCTTATACAAGGAGAAACCAGGAGTAAAACACCCAAGCAGGGATTCCTAGGTGGAAGGAAGAAAAAGAAAAAAGAAAAGAAAAGCCCAAATAGTGTTAAAAATCAATCTGGCAATCTTGCTATTGCATCCAAGTCTTACTGTACAAAAATATAATAATTAAGTCGATAACCCAACTCCTTCAAAGTTTCAATGTTAAATCCGGTGTGGAGTCCTCTAGCTCAAGGTGTACTTCTGGATTCACTTCTGCAAAACTCAAATTTGAACTTCCAGTGACCACGAACTTCTGATGATGATCATGATGATGAGTATTATCGTTATCACTTACCTCTCCAACCTGACGGAAACTACCAGGCCATAGCAGTTCCGCCTCATCATCCTCCATGAACATGGGCATTCCAACATAACCCTGATCAAATCTTGAATTGCTTTTAATCTCATAAGGCCTCATCATTGATGGTGAAAAGCCATGGTGAATTGAGGAGTGAGCTTTTATCCCTAAGGACCTAAAAGAGCCATGAAGAGGGAGGGATGCTAAACTCGCATACCTCTCAGAGAAAAAGCCCATTCTCATAGCTCTCTTTGCTAGTGTTCTTTCCCTCTTGTGTGCATTCTGGTGGCCACCAAGAGCCTGTGAGCTGAAGAACTTGCGCTGACAGTAGTTGCAAGAGAAGACTCTTTGGATGGTGGCTGAAGTGGTTTGAGAGGCAGGTTCATTGCTACTCTCACTGGTGCTTGAGAATGAGAGTCCTACGGAGTCTCTAGTGGGGCCTACCTCGTTGTTATTGAAGCTGAGAGTTAAGTCAAGTGAAAGAGGATCTGCATTGTTTAGTCGAAATCCAATATTATTGGTGTTGTCAGATGCGTTGTTGAGGCTGTCACTAGAAGGACCTGCAGATATTTCATGAATGAATATGTTGGATGCAACCTGGCTGATAATTTCAGATTCATTTTCGGCAGAAGCCTCCACTTCAAGATCCAAGTTTGGCATCATGACTTGGCTGTGCTTAAATTGCAAGGTGATATGTAAATCAAATGCAGTAATCAACCATCAGAATTAAGATTTTGAAGCAGAAGAATTATTCAGTCCTGGAATTTGGCATGCAAAGGATATCCATTAGTTACACGTAGTAACTAGCAAGCATCAAAACAAGAAATTTCAGGCTCGATTTAGTTTGAGGAGAAGTTGCACAGGATTCAAATAAATATTACATGAACCATATGTAAAACTGTTTTTCCTCCATGGAGAGGATAAGTACAGAGAACAAACAAACTCTAGCAAACCCAAGTGAGACATAACTAAATTTCAGCATGAGGGAAAACAAGCCAACAACACATGCTAGTCCTGGAATTAATTGCAAACTTTTTTTTTTTTTGAATAAGAAGATGATTTCATTCATTCAAAGAATACTATACAAGAAAATAAAAAAGGCCTTGGTAAATCAAAAGAACCAAGGACTGCTCAAAACAGTTGCAAACTTCTTTTACTAGCATGTCATACGATATTATTTTTTGGGCCAATAAGCATGCCTTATAAAAAGGAGTGACTGGACCATGATTTTTCATGGCTGAAGTAATTCCTTCTGTATAATCCATTTTACCATTTGGGAAGCGGGGTTGCTCATGGCGGCTGTAGGCAATAGAAGGAGCTTATGTTTGTAGTAGAAAGCAAAAACTATAAGTACCTTATTACAAGCAATTGGATATTATATCAGCGACCATACTCACATCAGTGAAAGATACCAGCAAACCCAACTTTTCTGGCATTTGTTTTTGCTTTTCTCACCTTTTTTCCAAATTCATGAAGCAGAGGTTGGTATGAAATGAATTCATGGATTTATGTTATGATAGATCTAGAGATAAATTGCAATGGTCAAAACAAAAGCCACATCTAAAGACCTGTGGCTCAAAGGGGGATTTTTGGTGCTATACAAATTGATTATGATTTTCATTTTTCATAAATAAGTTGAGCATCGTCAATCCCCGGAACCATTCTTTAACCTATTCTGTTAATTCAAGTCGTCTTGGATTTTTTTTTTTTGGCAAAAAAAAAAACCCCAAAACATGACACATGTAGCACTCTAAACCATCTGTTTTACAATTTTATGGGAATTAATTACCAAGTAGGAAGGACATGAATTACTGATTTACACCAGCATACAGTTTTAACTTCTCAGCTTGACCTGAGTAAATAAATCTGACCAAAGATTTTTGTTCAAAACTTTTAGAAACATTAGCTACTCGCATCTGATCTCAAATCAATCAAGAATCCAAAATTTCCAGCAAACTAAAAATGATTCTTAAAGAGATTGACCACCACAATTGAGTTTGCTCCAATACAATAACACCGAAAAAGAAGAAACCTGGACTCGCAGTTAAAGGAGGGAGATAATAACATCTCTAGTACTATATCCAAAAACAGAGAACTGCATGCAGAAAGATTCTTGCTTCATCTTCCTCCTTGCGAAACCTGGGACAACATTATCTAGACTTTATATTATATATGAAAAAAAGAGGGAGTTTTAAGACACACAGTCTTCTATGGGATATTCCACAGTCTGAAAATTTCTTGAGAACGCTTGGCAAGAAAAAGAAAGTTGAGTAGTGGAGGAAAAAGACAGAACCGAAGAATGGATTTTAGAAGTTTTGACGATAGACTCCACAAAATATTTTCCGCCATTCAGGGATTCTAACTTATCTACAAATCAAGAGAGATTAAACAAGAGCACAATGAGTAGAGATACAAGCATTAGAGTAGAGAAGTATTACATATCCTTTCGAGTTTGAAGATCAGTTGGAAGTGGCTTGCTTTCGAAATCACCTGAAAACTGCTTTGAAATTGGAGACATCTACTTGCAGTGTTGCTTGTATGGCTAATTATCAAAAGACAAAACAGGTTTGAGTTTTCTATGTTTCCGGAACACTAATAGAGGGTAAGATGAGAGGAGATTCCTTTTTCATTTTTTTTTTAACTGAAAAAGGTTCAAACACGGAGAAAGAGTAAATGGGGAGAGAGAAAGTGAGAGAGACAGACACAGAGATCGTGGGTATTGATGTTTAATTATGGGAAAGCAAAGGTAAGAAGGGAGTGCAGGGTTGAGGGGACAGTGGTGGGGCATCAGAGAAGTCAGAGGAAGGTCTTCGATTAATTTTCCTTGAAAAAGTTATAAACCATGAAATAGATATTGTAATCCAATAAATATTAAATAATTTGATGGCAACAAGAGGATGAGATATTTGAGTTTCACATTGAGTAACTGTAAAATGTTCCATAAAATTATAAAATTTTTAAGCGAATGGATTCATTCATCTAAATGGCTAATTTTTTTTAAAAAATATTTTATAGATTGAATTGGTGACTTGGGAAAGAGTTATTTTCCAAAAGGTTTTCATGGATAAAATAATTGAGTGATTTCAATACGTAGCTTTCCGAAGAGAATTCTACACTTTTCTCAGCTACATATCATTTTTATGTAGTATAAATTAAAACATCAACATCATCAATATAGATTCAGGCCAAAAAAAATCATCAATATATATTCTATCCATAAGTAATAAAAAGTACAATTTCTTTACCAAAAAAAAAAAAAACAGTACAATTCTGCCGGCATAAAAAAATATACAATTCATCTTTAAAATTTCATGCATTCACATATGCATAGAAGACATATATTTGTAATACAATTACACATATTATATATATATATATATATATATATCTCACTCTCTCTCTAAGAAGTGTCCTATTTCCCCACAGGATATAATAAAAGGCTACTGCTGTTTTGAAAGTCTGAGGCATTGTACATCTTCTTTGTGGAATTTTGGGCTTTTACAGAAACAACCAACTGCTTCCCCCATATGCAAAGTTCAAACTGGAAACTATAACACCACTGGGTTGTACATAGAATGAGGGGGGAAAAAAACCAAAGAGAGCAAAAAAGATTCCCCTCCGCCCCCCCCCCCCCCTCTTTTTCCCTTCCCATTTCTAAAACGTTTCAGATAACTCCACAATGCATGGGGACAGCTTTCATAGTTTCATATTTGGTTCCATCCATCACGTCCATCATAACCACTTTCTTCACCTTATTCGGACCACATCTTATTATTCATCAAACATACTATACTATACTAGAACATCATTTGTTTCCCATGTTTTGCTTTTATTTTTTTAATTATTTTTAAAAACTTAACAACTCCACTCAACATAAATAGTAGAGCACATATCCTTCCCACCGAACATTGTATATTATGAATTATTGTGACCACTTTTTTCCCCTTTTCCTTTTCTTCTATACCCTCATATTCTCTGCAATTTTCCTACTGGTTGATGCCCCTGCCTTTCAACATTTAACTGGAAAGTGACACAACAGTTGAAGCAACTAATAATTAGTTTATTGAAGTAAAGTAAGGTTGAAGCAGCTCATCATCATTTATCATCACAAATCTAGTTCTTATGGGCTCAATATTTCTTTTCCTAGATTTGGTGAATCTTGCTCGGAATAACTTCATTAAAAAAAAAAAAAAAAGCTTAAGCTCCACTGCAACCACAATTTTAGAAGTTTACTTATCCCCTTTCAAATGGCAATCAAATTCTTGTTCAAATTGGTTACTACTTATCCCTTCAAAATGGAAACACAAAATAGGATTTTTTTTTTTTTACTCCTTTGTAATTTTAATATGGTGTTCTACACTCATAAAAAATAATTGCATATTATATGTTTAAAAAAAAGAGAGAGAAAAGCATGAAAGAACAGTAAATATCGTACCCCAATCTGCATAGAATTTACCTGAATTAGTTTTGTTTGAGCTGAGGAGAAAAAAAATAAAGAGAAGAATCCACCTCTGTCACCGAAAGACTACAGTAGACCTCACTTATCCCCTATATTTCCTCTCATCACTTCCGCCATCATACTGTTTAGAGGATTAAAATTAACATACAGTCACATTAACATGACTTTTCAAGACCCAAAATCAATTTGATGTTGTAGAAAACAACTCCTTTGATGCTCAATATGTTTTTCCCAAGATTTGGTGAATCTTTTATTGACCAGTCTTCACCACAACAGCAATTTCACAAATTACCTAATTCAAAATTTTTCTCCAGGGAAAATACTCAAACAGGTAGCATGCATTGCTAAAACACTACACTGTTTAAAACGTGTGGCCCTTCGTTCAGCGAAAAGAAGATAACAATGAAAGCAATCACTTATTACCTAGAATATTGGAAGACAAGTTGAGAGATGACACATCCTCTTAACCCACCAAAGCATAAAGCGATTGGAAGGTTTCATCATCAACACCACCATGGCCTTCAATCTCTATCAGTACCGAGCTGAGACAATTTTCGTTGGAGCATATAAATGGGATGGTCCATTTTCCCACACTCGAAATTATAGAACCATCATGGCCATAACTCCAATCTTTGCTCTTTCTTTTTTGTTGAATTAATTGGAAGCGAACCCCTTTCTTTATTTTTTTCCCTTTCATCTCCATTGAATTTCAGCCACTCGAGTATCATCAGCAAATCGGCACACCAGAAACAAAACAAACGGTTCTAACGTATTTCTCATGCGGTGCTTTACAACAATGAAAGAAAATTCTCAAATTTTTTTAGCTTGTTTTTGCTTTTGTTTACATTTTTTGACAAGACGAAAAGCTATAACTTATATCTTCCTTCTTCTTTGTTTGAGTTAAAATCATTTGTTACTTCTCCACTAGAACGCCATTTAGGTTTAAAAAAAAAATAATTGTGTGTATATCTTATACTAACAAGTTATGATCAATATAAGTATATAACTCAAATTTTATCAATGAATTTTTTTTGGCCAAATTTTTTATCAATGAATTGGATCAAGCAGAATGAGCTGGTCCTTACAATGTGGTGAACAAATTAATTGTTTAAATTTTCGTGGGAAAGTATTAGTATCTAACACTACCTCAAATATTATCTGATAAGATAAAAAAAAAAACTTGAGTAGAATTGTATAAAACACAAAACAGGAATAGATAATATTAATAAAAAAATGGAAGCTAAGAATGAGTTCAGTATTTTTAAGGGTCCATTTGGATTTGTTATTTTTCACTTTTGAAAAGCCCTTTCTAACTTTTCAAATTCAAATTTTGTTTGGGACTTTGTAATTTTAATAAGAGTAAACTAACATTATAAAAAGACTTTGAAAATTGACTTGAAAGTGGATTTTGGAACAAGCAATTTGAAAGTTTTTCAAAAATTCTTTTCAATTTTTTAATTTTAAATATACTTCTTTGGTTCTATTTATAGGGAAGATAATATTTATTTTAGTCTCATTTGTAAGGCACTTCAATGACTATTGCATCCATATTTACCTTTTTACCTTTATTAAATGTTAGGAAAGTTATTAAATGTCGCATTATTTTATTTTTTAAATATGTATATTTAATAGAGATAAAGTTGTAAATTTGTTGAATAAATTGTATTCTATCACATTTTATAAACACTTCTAATATGTTACATTTATATAACAAAAATTACAAATAATTATAAACTAATATTCTTTTTGATAAACGTATACTTAAAAGCACATTTCTGTGTATATAATCTAAATAATTTTTAGTTTATCAAACTAATTTTTAAAAAAATGTTTTCAAATTCAAATTTTATCACAACAACTAACTTTCACTAAATTAATTTTTTTTAAATAAACTTTTGACAAGCTAACTTTTATTTCATAAAAAACCAAACACACTAAGACTTTGTGGGGTTGCAATTTAGATTGAGGTAGAAGGAGGGGGGAAATTGGCTTTTTCTTGACAAAATCTCGACTTTTGAAGCTAAAGCTAAGCCCAACTATGGCCAATTTAATGTTTGGCTTTTTTTTTAAAAAAAAAAAATATATATATATATATATAACATTTATTACAGTTTTCCTTGCTTAATTTAAATACCAAAATGACTCCTAAATAGAAATGATTAAATTAGGCAATTATTTCAATAAGGAGAATCGAAGTTCGAATTCCTACATTTGAATTTTTATTTGGATAAATAAGTAAAATATCTCTAAACTTTAAGTCAAGTAGCACGCACCTATAATGTATAAATAATATAATATGTATCTGATATATCAATACTTTAATTTTTAAAAAGCGGCATGATGTCATAGTTACATGGTTGCGGTTTGGTAAACTGCTACTAACAATGATTGTTGTCGCAATTTGGACTCACACCACGACTATTTTGGGACATTTTGATCCCCGCCATTTGGCATGAAATATGGTAGCAATTTAAGTAGCGATTAGGAGGACTAAATCCATTGCAAAACCTTTATAATAGGGCTGCACAAAGAATTGACCCGACAAGACTTTGGCTTAACTCAAAGTTTGATTCTTTTCATAAAAACGACTAAGATAGGTAACTCATGATCTGGTCTTGGTATAACTCAAACACAATAGGACTGGACTAGTCTAATAGGACTAAGAGATTGATCTCGATGTTATCCAATATCTTACTTTGTTTTTTCCTTTTTCATTTATGAGAATCAGCAATTTATTTCAACATAATAAATTCAATTAACACGATAAAATTATTTATAGTTATATAAAATTTATCACAACAACAACAACAATTATAAATTCACAACAATTCACAACAACAACAAAAAGTATTTAAATTACAAAACAAAAGATTCAAATTAAACAACCTTCAACAATATTAAATAACCTTCAACATATCTAAAGTCTATTATTCCAAGTTAATAACAAATTTTACCAATAAAAGGAGAAGACTAGGGTTAGTCAATGCTAAAATTTTGCTCAATATTTATAATTTCACAAATATAAAACACAAAAATTGCTAATTATTATTTAAAACTAACTTATTTTAATAATAATTAATAAATTAATTATAATTATATTAAATAAATTTCTAGGACCAAACTAGACCAAGTGGTTCAAATACTCGATTTCTTATCCAAACCAACTTGAAAAAAGAGTCTCATCTTTTTAGTTCCAAAAGATCAATTTTTTTCCAAACCTAATCGGAATGGATTGTCTCAAGTTAGACTAGACTGTATAGAATTAAAGAACTTTTGCACAGGCATACTTCATTGTGGTTTCAAGAACTGCTGCAATATTGGAAGCTAGTTGGCACGAAACTTTGTCGCGGTTTTGGTAAAGGTTTGTAACGCAAAATTATTACACA